ACACTAAACACTTCCACATTTAGAATTATTAAAGTCAAACAAAAACCATCACATAACTTTTTACCCATCAAGAGCTGCACAATATGGAGATTAAAACATTTTATTTAGTGTCAAATCATGCTCCATTACTTTCAGTTGCAGTTTTAGACTGTTTAACAAAAGTAAATTGTAAAACCTCCCAAAATTACAGTCTCTCAGACTTAGTTCAAACATTTATGAGTTTCTTCTGTTGAACACAAAAGAAGATATTTTGTAAAATGTTGAAAACCTGTAACCATTGACTTCCATAATATTTACATTTAGTCATTTAGCAGACGCTTTTATCCAAAGCGACTTACAAATGAGGACAAGGAAGCAATTTACACAACTATAAGAGCAACAGTGAAGAAGTGCTGTAGGCAAGTTTCAGGTCTGTAAAGTGTAAGAAGCAAAACATTAGGATTATTTTTCTGTAGTGCAGTTAGCGGTGGAGCCAGAGAGGCAACTGCAGATGAGGAAGGGAAGTGGAGACTAAATAGTTGAGTTTTTAGTGGTTTCTTGAAGACAGCGAGTGACTCTGCTGTTCTGATGCAGTTAGGGAGTTCATTCCACCAACTGGGCAGATTGAGCGCGAGAGTTCGGGAAAGTGATTTCTTCCCTCTTTGGGATGGAACCACGAGGCGACGTTCATTCACAGAACGCAAGTTTCTGGAGGACACACACATCTGCAGAAGTGAGAGCAGATAAGAAGGAGCAAAGCCAGAAGTCGCTTTGTAAGCAAACATCAGAGCTTTGAATTTGATGCGAGCAGCAACTGGCAGCCAGTGCAAACGGATGAGCAGCGGAGTGACATGTGCTCTTTTAGCTTCATTGAAGACCACTCGTGCTGCTGCGTTCTGGAGCAGCTGAAGAGGCTTGATAGAGTTAGCTGGAAGCCCGGCTAGTAGAGAGTTGCAGTAATCCAGTCTGGAGAGAACAAGAGCTTGAACAAGGAGTTGAGCTGCATGTTCAGATAGGAAGGGTCGGACCTTTCTGATGTTATAGAGTGAGAATCTGCATGATCGAGCAGTTCTAGAGATGTGGTCAGAGAAGTTTAGTTGGTCATCAATCATTACTGCCAGGCTTTTCACTGTTTTGGATGCAGTAATGGTTGCCCTGTCCATCTGGGGATGATGATGGGGCAGATATTTTTTGTTTCTTGCTATTGAAGTCAGTTATCAGATTAGCTTCAGAACATCTTCTTCTGTGTTCAACATGGAAAGAAGCTCTTAAATGTTTGGAACAGCTTGAGGGAGAGTAAATGAGGATTCAGTCTTCATTTTGAGGTGCACATTCCATTTATTAGCATCTGTATCTGCTGTATTCTTTCTCTCTATAAAAATAGCCATGGACGCTGGCACGACGTTAAACACAGAGGAGTATTGGATCATTTCAGGTGTGCTGATGAAGTCAGCCTGCAGTGTGTGTGTGCTGATGAGCTGATGTGCAGTGTTCTCCACACTCTCCCTCATATTCTTCATCTGTGTCTGTGTGTCTACAGGTAACCAAACTGGACCGAGACCCAGCCTCCGGGACGGCCCTGCAGGAAATCAGCTTCTGGCTGAACTTGGAGCGAGCCCTGAACCGCATCCAGGAGAAGAGGGAGAGCCCGGAGGTGCTGCTGACGCTGGACATCCTGAAGCATGGCAAACGCTTCCATGCCACCGTCAGCTTCGACACGGACACCGGTACACACACACACACACACACACACACACACACACACGTCTAAAGGAGATTGCTAGTTCACACAGAAAGGAAGATTCTGTCATTACTCTCCCTCATGTGTTGTCAGTCTCCTGAGCTCTGCATCTTCAGACACTGATGAAGATATTTTAGCTGAAGTGTGAGAGCTCCTCATCCTCCACAGACAGCAAGAGTCCTGAGATGCCTAAAGTGCAGAAACACATCCTCAAAACACTCCACCAGAATGCTTTTGTGCACATAAAAACCCCAAAATGACGACTCCATATTATGATTAATAACAGAGGTCAAGTTTTTAGGTGAGCGAACTCTTGAAGCTGCTGATGCTCTGGTCTCTGAGTCATTAGCCGTGTTTCTCTCCTCTTATTCTCATGTGTATTTTGGAATAATGGAAATGCAGAGGTGTGCACACGTTTTGGAAATGTGCATATCAGAGTGTGTGCACACAACTGAGCAGGAGAAGCTGTAAAACTTCAGTTAATATACAAGCAAACTCTGCATCTGTCTGCTCTGTCTCACGCCTCCACAAGCCACCGTGTTCATTGCGTCTGGTCTTGGTCTTCTGAGGCGCAGCTCATTTATTAGAGAACACACACAGCAGTGGAGATATCTCAGCGATATGTCAGCATGTTCAGCAGGATCTGAGGAGTGTATCCGCTTCTGTTCCTCGTGGACTGGAGACGCTGCTGTATTAACTCATGTTCTCTGTGATATTCCAGTGGTCTGTGCATGTCAGTCTAATGCTGGTTGTGTTCGCGCAGGGCTGAAGCAGGCTGTGGAGACGGTGAACGACTATAATCCTCTGATGAAGGATTTCCCGCTCAATGATCTGCTGTCGGCCACTGAGCTGGATAAGATCCGGCAGGCTCTGGTGGCCATCTTCACTCACCTGCGCAAGATCCGCAACACCAAATACCCCATCCAGCGGGCGCTGCGTCTGGTGGAGGCCATCTCCAGAGACCTGAGCTCTCAGCTGCTGAAAGTGCTGGGCACGCGCAAGCTCATGCATGTGGCCTACGAGGAGTTCGAGAAGGTGATGACACACACACACACACACACACTGCTGCTACTTTCACCACTCTTTGACTTATTTTTTATCTGGAGACTCTTTAAAATGAATATTCTGTATGCGAGTCCTTCCACAATAGTAGGAAATTGGATCAAGAGCACATCTGAGAAGCTGACTTGCCTTATTTCCTGCATTGTTTATTGCTGGCGGTGTCTTTTATTATAAATAGACTTGTTTTCCTTGAAATAATAAGATGTTTGTAAAGGGTTTTTCTCCCTGATGTATATCCAGAGGTGTCAGTAAACTCTCTCTATCCTCCGCAGGTGATGGTGGCCTGCTTCGAGGTCTTCCAGACGTGGGAGGATGAGTACGAGAAGCTGCAGGTTCTGCTGAGGGACATCGTGAAGAGGAAGCGGGAGGAGAACCTGAAGATGGTGTGGCGTCTCAGTCCAGCTCACCGTAAGCTGCAGGCCCGTCTGGACCACATGCGGCGCTTCAGACGGCAGCACGAGCAGCTGCGGGCCGTCATCGTGCGCGTGCTCAGACCACAGGTACACACACACACACACACACACTTTCAAGAGGCACACTTCACACACACAAACACATCCTAAAGAGGCCCGCTTCACACACTAAACTACATTTACTCAACGTTTACTCGCTCATGTGGTTCTGCCCTGCAAAAAACACTAGTTTTCGTCTTGTTTTTAGTCCAAATATCAAAGAATTCTTAAATCAAGAAGCGTTTCTAGACAAGCAAACAAACATGTAGTGTTGTGCTGATGAGCTCAGCAGAATAATCTCATTTCTAGCAGAAATACAATCGCTGCATCACACAAACAACTGAAGTTTAAACTCTGTATTGGCATTATTTGCAATCTAGTCTTCTGTTATACTGAAAGGAATATTGTGGCTGTATTTCTGTCTGCCGCTCTTTTAAACATATTCTGTTTTACTCGAGGAAGTTTCAAATATAATCTGAGCTCTTATTCCCTTGTTTTGTTTTGAGTCTTTCTTTCTTTCTTTCTTTCTTTTCTCTTATTATTGTCTTATTTTCTATTTATTTATCTACTTATTCTGTTGTGAAGATGTTTTCTGTTATTTTGAGTATTCAATAAAAAAGCAAGCAAGAAAGCAAGATGAATCACTTCCCCTTCTGCTAGATTATTGAACTTGTTTTAAGTTCTCCTGAAAACTAAATATTTCTCGCTTCTCCTGAAAATGCTTCTTGATTTAATATTTGAACTCAAAAGAAGACAGAACCCACAGTAAGGAAAGCATTTCTCAGTGTAATCTTGAGTTTCTTCTGTTGATTATTCTGAACAGTGCTGAAAATAACCCATAATCATCTATAGTAGGCACAAATAATGCCATGGAGGCCAATGTCTGTCATTCCAGCATTCCTCAGTACATCTTGTTTTGTGTTCAGTCAAGTTTAGAGCAAGTGGAAATGGATGACAGAATAAAATGTTTGTGAACTGACCCTCGGGTGCAATCCTTAAGATGGATGATGGTGTTGTTTTGTTTCGTTGATTGTGAGCTGATCATTTCTACACACAGTGGCTTGTTTTTAAGCAGCATGGCAGTAATGAGACGATGATGGAGCGTTCTGTTCTGTAAAGACCACAGCAGCGTGATTATTAAGATCAGTGTTGATTCTGGCCATGCACATCAGTGTGTTCATCAGTGAGACAGAGCTGCTGTTATACACACACACACACACACACACACAGCTCAAACAAACCGCTCTCGCATCTCACACAGCCTCAGGTGAACGTCACACATGATGATGATGAAGGCTATTTTTACATGTTAAAGAAGGTTTTGTGCTGACCCATCTGACACGCAGAGTTTCTGTTCACACAGAGTAACAGTGATCAGCTCAGATGCAGATTATGTGCATTATGCAGTGTTGAATGCTAATGTGCAGAGATTCCCACACATGGACTTTACTTGGGCGAGTCACTCGGGTATATGAACAGCCGCACAAGTATATTCGGTGGTGACACATAAATAATACTATTATTTTCATTTGTTTACTCTTTTTGTGTCCGCCTAAAAAGCCAAACATTCGTGATCGATTAGCCAGTAAAAATCTTCTCTTGCTCTGCACATTCCTTAGCGTACTGCTGGTTCTGTGAACGCGAGAACTGTCAACAAACACACGTGCTCTGCAGACCCACAGAGATGCGCCTTTTCCACCAAAATGCATCCGGCTGTAGTTTCTGCATATCCTAGATCGTCTGGCATTGGGATTTTGCTTTCGCTCTCTAAAGTTGCTGTATGCGTTTTTGCATTACCTTTTCACAGCAGACACAGCCGCGAGAGGAAAATTAAATAATTTAAATATTTTAAATAAATTAAATAGTTTAATAAAGGACTTTACTAGCCTATATACTCGGAGAACAAAATGACATCTATACTGACTGCACAATATTAGTACACCGTTAGTAATGTGTGACTTATTTGCCTCTTTAAAATAATCTACCCTTATTATTCTGATAATTATTATAATTATTAGCAATATTGTCTTTTTATTAATTTTGTCTGATATTTCTCATTTGCTGTATATTTGATTAATTTAATGATGTTAATATATTACATGCTTTATACATATCTAAAATGCTTTGGCAGTACTGTAATGTCATGCCATTGAGAGAGAGAGAGAGAGAGCAGAGCACCCTTTACCTGTCTGGGTGCACATGCCTTCTACATAGCTGAAAGTAAGAGAAATATTGCATTTCTTTCATCTCAACAACCTTTTTTAATAACTTAAAATTGAAAAGAGAAGGTGTATAACATTGTCATGATGAATAAAAATACAGTTAAAATCACAGTATGGTTTAGTTTGTCGCATGTAGTTGACTGTGATGGGGTAAAAGCTGTGTTTCAATTCAGATATCACTGCAAGTATATTTCAAACCAGTGGGAAGCCCAGATCTGAGTTTAAAGACTTTCTCCTGACTCTTATAGGCATACTGAAACCAGCAGCAGATGTTGAAAATAAAATAACTCGCAGACATAAAGCTGGAAAATGAACTTTAGAACTGTCACACTCATGAATTAAAGAAGATGAACTTATTTAACTTGTGTAAGCATATTTCAATGAGATGTACGTGTTAAATGATATAAGAGTCTTGTATACAGGAAATACTGAAAGGGAAATGTGTAAAAAGATGTAAAAGGTGCTTAAATTATTTATCTTTGATCTAATTGAAAGATCTTCTGTGAGTTGTCATCAGTGATGTTACTTGTGTGTTTTGTACAATGCATGATGGGTAAGAAACGGTTCTGATTAGGGTTGTTCTTGATAGCGATACTAGTACCGGAAATACTCGCCAACACCAATGCCAGAATGTTTGCAGTTTTGGTGATATTTCACCAGTGATTTAGACCCTAAACTGATCCGATATCATCTTTTTAAATGAGACATACGCCTGCTCGCTTTGCCTAACACTGCAGTCCCTTAGTCTGTGCTTCTGTAGGATGTAGTTTGGTCATGCTGTGAAAGCTCTTCTCTTCCTGTGTGCTCACCTGCGCAGGTGTCCGCCGTACCGCAGCACGCCCAGGGTGAGAGCGCGGAGCCGGCCGATCTGAAGGTGGCGGAGGTGCTGTTCGATGCTGCAGACGCCAACGCCATCGAGGAGGTGAACCTGGCCTACGAGAACGTGAAGGAGGTGGACGGGCTGGACGTCTCCAAGGAGGGCATGGAGGCGTGGGAGGCAGCCATGAAGCGATACGACGAGCGCATCGACCGCGTGGAGACGCGCATCACCGCACGCCTCCGTGACCAGCTGGGCACCGCCAAAAACGCTAACGAGATGTTCCGCATCTTCTCCCGCTTCAACGCCCTGTTCGTGCGGCCGCACATCCGCGGGGCCATCCGGGAGTACCAGACTCAGCTGATCCAGCGGGTCAAAGACGACATCGAGTCCCTGCACGACAAGTTCAAGGTGCAGTACCCGCAGAGCCAGTCCTGCAAGATGAGCCACGTGCGGGACCTGCCGCCGGTGTCCGGATCCATCATCTGGGCCAAGCAGATCGACCGGCAGCTGACGGCCTACATGAAGCGGGTGGAGGACGTGCTGGGCAAGGGCTGGGAGAACCACGTGGAGGGCCTGAAGCTCAAGCAGGACGGGGACAGCTTCCGGGCCAAGCTTAACACGCAGGAGATCTTCGACGACTGGGCCCGGAAGGTGCAGCAGCGTAACCTGGGCGTCTCCGGCCGCATCTTCACCATCGAGAACACGCGGGCGCGCGGACGCACCGGCACCGTGCTCAAACTCAAGGTCAACTTCCTGCCCGAGATCATCACGCTCTCCAAGGAGGTGCGCAACCTGAAGTGGCTGAGCTTCCGCGTGCCGCTCGCCATCGTCAACAAGGCGCATCAGGCCAACCAGCTGTACCCGTTCGCCATCTCGCTGATCGAGAGCGTGCGCACCTACGAGCGCACCTGTGAGAAGGTGGAGGAGCGCGTCTCCATCTCGCTGCTGGTGGCCGGCCTGAAGAAGGAGGTGCAGGCGCTTATCACTGAGGGCATCTCGCTGGTCTGGGAGTCCTACAAGCTGGACCCGTACGTGCAGCGGCTCGCCGAAACCGTCTTCAACTTCCAGGAGAAGGTCAGTCGCTCCTCTGTTATTGAGGGAGATCACTCCTGATTGTTCTGAGGTGCTGATGTGTCGGTGTTATTGCTGATCTCCCTCTCAGGCTTCTGAATGATCGTGTTGTGTGTGTGATTAATGATGTTATGATGTCAGATGATCACCCGTGTCAATGTGCTGATCTTCACTGTCAGGTGGATGATCTGCTCCTGATCGAGGAGAAGATTGATCTGGAGGTCCGCTCTCTGGAGACCTGCATGTATGAGCACAAGATGTTCACCGAGATCCTGAACCGCATCCAGAAGGCCGTGGATGACCTTAACCTGCACTCCTACTCCAACCTACCCATCTGGGTCAACAAGCTGGACATCGAGGTGAGAAACAGATCATCTGCTCACTGGAAATGTTCCTCCAGGCAGAGTATGAAGAGATTTATAGTGTTCAGTCCACATCTCAGCGTGCTGCAGTCCAGATCACATGTGGAAATGATCATGTTCAGCTATTAAAGCTCCAAGCCGCTGACTCTTATGAACACCACTGCAGTCTGAATATGCATCAAGCACTTGTGTAGTGTCAGGAATGAATGATTCAGAGTATTGTGAAGTGCACACAGTGTAAATACGCTCATCAACATCACCATGTGTTGAGTTATGTCTAACCCTGCCATAAAGCACTGATGTGGCAGTAAACATGTCCTGCGTTCCCTCTGTAGATCGAGCGCATCCTGGGTGTGCGTCTGCAGGCGGGACTCAAGGCCTGGACGCAGGTTCTCAGGGGCCAGATGGAGGACAAGGCTGATGTGGACATGGACACCGAGGCTCCTCAAGTCAGCCACAAACCCGGAGGAGAGCCCCGGATTAAGGCAAGAGCCGCCAGATAGGCCTCTGAGCTCTTCTGTGTTAATGATGATCTCCACACTGAACTGATGATTTACCCACAGAACATCATCCACGAGCTGCGCATCACCAACCAGGTGATCTACCTGAACCCGCCCATCGAAGACTGCCGCTACCGGCTCTACCAGGAGATGTTTGCATGGAAGATGAACATCCTGTCCTTACCCAGAATCCAGAGTCAGAGATATCAGGTGTGTGTGTGTGTGTGTGTGTGTGTGTGTGTGTGTGTGTGTGTGTGTGTGTGTGTGTGTGTGTGTCTGTGTGTGTGTCTGTGTGTGTGTGTCTGTGTGTGTGTGTCTGTGTGTGTGTGTGTGTGTGTCTGTGTCTGTGTGTGTGTGTGTGTGTGTGTCTGTGTGTGTGTCTGTGTGTGTGTGTGTGTGTGTCTGTGTGTGTGTGTGAGTCTGTGTGTGTGTGTGTGTGTGTGTGTGTGTGTGTGTGTGTGTGTGTGTGTGTGTGTGCGCGTGCGTGCGCGTGTGTGTGTGTGTGTGTGTGCAGCCTCTTCATTTATTCTGTCTTTAACCCTTTAATAGTGGTTTAAATGGTTGTTTTGTGGAAATGACGGCCTCTGCTTTAATCATTAATGTCTTCAATGCTTTAGTGATTTAAGATTTAATCTTGTTTTAAAGAGGAAAACGTTTATTTTTTGTACTGCCCTATATTTAATGAAACCAAACAACCGTTTTACCTGGAGAGGCTTTAAAAGTTTAGTTTTTTAATCGTGAGTTCTGCAGAAGTGTGATCAAGTCTAGATTTTTATATATTTTAATGTATTATTTATTGCTGTTGATGTATTTTTCCTATAAACCATTCATTTTTATTATAAAAAGAGACGTTTATAAAATTTTATCCATTTTTTCATTTATTTTTGCTATGATTTTGCCAGAGAAGCCGATACTGTGATGAACTAAACTCTCATATTTGGCTCGTTTACACTGTCAGGTTTACACTGTCAGGTCCTGATGCCCAATTCCGATTTGTTTTCTATATCTGATTTGTTTGTCTGTCCGTTTACACATTATTTTAATTGTGACATATCCAATTCATGCGTTTACACTTGCCATACAATTTACCATGTTGCGCATGCATAAAGGCGGGTTCTGGCATCTGCGCCACACTAGCCACGATGGAAGAAACTGTCTTGTTTTTGGCTCTGTGAAATATGCGAAGTGTAGTATAAGCAGTCAATGGTTTAGTCCAGATTTACCCCCACGCAGTTTATGTAATGGTATGGCCCTGATGTGTGTGTAGTTGAAGATGGCACACTGGTGTTGGAGAGAATATAGTTGTGCTGTGTGTAGCCCGCAGTTTGTGTATTAATAGCGACTAAAAGCAAAAGTTACAACACGAAGTTCCCCCAACTTTAAAATGATTTTGACGAGGAGGTGGGAAAGGGCCGTCATCACAGCTTGTGCTTATGGTTTACATGATTTAATGACGTCCTCCACCGTTCAGAGGAATGTATGGGTTCGAGAGAGATCTCAGGTCGGGTGGGAGCAAACTTTGGCGACTGACCTCTTTCCCCCTCTGTGTTTCCTCTGATGTTGTTTACCGCGTCAGCATCTCCTCACACGCTCTTCCTTCTGTCATTAAACCGCGGAGAAGCAGCACATTGTCACTAGTTTAATGATGTACAGAACGTAATGCCTTAATAAATCCGATCTGCCTGTTTACATGACAGTCACATTGTCACATATCTGATCTATATCTGATTTATTTCCACATATGAAGGAGGCCAGAAACCCATCTCTGAATGTCCGAATGCGTGCGCTTCTTTCGTGTTCACACGGTCATAGAGCAGATCCGATCTGTCACATATGAGCAAAACATCAGAATTGGGTCACATTTAACTGGCCGTGTAAACGGGGCAGTGGTAGAGGAGACAGATGTCAGATTGTTGCTGAAGTGAGAAATTTAAGGGAAAAATGTTTACATTTATGAAAATTATTAGAGAATTAATGTAGATTTTATTATTTTGCATGAAATGTGTATTTAACAAACCAGTTTTAACCTAATATTTGCACAAAAGCAATCAGTTAAATATCTGAATTTATATTCCAAAGTTGAAGTTAATGTCTGTAAAAACAGCTTTCAGCAGGGTTTAGTTTGGTTGCAGTACCAGACATGACCACCAGGTGATCTCCAGTATACATTGATGACCATATCAGGGCATCTCCTATTTCAATGCGTGTTTTGAGGAATATGAACCATATTTATTCATACTTTTGACAATAATTGTAAAGTAAACACCAAATTCTAAAGTAATATGGGCAGTTTGATGGTATTTGATTTAACCTTTATAAAAACGTCTAAACCATGTTACATGTGGATTGCTGTAGCGAAGTAGTGCTTTTCGCAAATGAATAAATATCTGTTGCTCAGTAATATCTGTCAGCAGATATGGAAAATAGAGCTTTTTAAAAGAAATACAGTTCATCATGATTGCTTTTAGTCTGCAATGTTATGGTTTAGAAATGTTTCTGCGAATGCTTCCACAGCTTGTAGAGTGAGAGCAAATGGGTTTAACTCTCTTACTCTTCCTACAGAACAAACACTGCAGTGAAATCTGTTCAGCATTGAGAGATTGTTTGTCATGAGTATATCAGTATTAGCCTGCAGTGAACTCCTGCTGGTTTTACAGGTGGGCGTCCACTATGAGCTGTCAGAGGAGGAGAAGTTCTACAGGAACGCTCTGACCCGGATGCCCGATGGCCCGTCCGCTCTGGAGGAGGCCTATAATGCAGTCAAGGAGAACGTGTCTGAGGTGGAGCAGTACGTCAAGGTCAGCTCATGCAGCACTCATATTCTGATTCATCATGACTTTTCTGGTTGTGGGATGATATCGATGCCAGATGAATATTGTAGTAATATCGTGGAGGTTTCACTTGTGTTATGTCGAGTCTCTCCAGAATTACTCTTATTTTTGATATATTAATATTGGGGGCAAAAAATGGTGATGATACTATTTGGGTATTTTGTGTGCAGCATTGTGGACTCCCTGATATGGTGGTAATACAGTGTTTATGATCTGCGCTGCTCCTCCAGGTGTGGCTGCAGTACCAGTGTCTGTGGGACATGCAGCCTGAGAACATCTACAACCGGCTGGAGGAAGACCTGAACAAGTGGCAGGCGCTGCTGGTGCAGATCCGCAAGGCCCGCGGCACCTTCGACAACGCAGAGACCAGGAAGGAGTTCGGGCCCGTCATCATCGACTACGGCAAGGTGGGAGGATCAGCTCTCTGCTCAGGACAGATGGAGACTTTATCATTTATTGAGCTGGTTTAAGGAGAAACTCTCTCCATTGTGACTCATTATGTCTGAAAACAGGACTGTCTGCTGTATTTGTCTGGAGATCTTCTTGATTTAGGAGTTTCTGGGTATTAGGACTTGTAACAGGACACACTAAGCATTTCGGCAGTGTGTAAAGTGATCAGTGTTTGGCATGACGCTGCAGCTGATGTGGGAATGACTCTCCTCTCTCTGCGCCGTCTGCTTTAGGTCCAGTCTAAAGTGAACCTGAAGTACGACTCGTGGCATAAGGAGGTGCTGAGCCGCTTTGGGCAGATGCTGGGAAACAACATGCAGGACTTCCACTCGCAGATCTCCAAGGTGAGCCGGAGCTCCGGCTGAGGGCATTATGGGATGTGCTTGTGTGTTATCTGTACACAGCTGCAGAGCTCTTCTGATGTTGACTGATGTGGTGATGGTGTTCATCTGTCTGTGAAGCTGCTTTGCAGCGATCATTATTGTGTGAAGCTCTGTATTATATATAATCGAGTGTCTCTGAGCTGATGTGTGTCGTTCTGCAGTCTCGGCAAGAGCTGGAGCAGCACTCGGTGGACACGGCCAGCACGTCTGACGCCGTCACCTTCATCACGTACGTGCAGACGCTTAAACGCAAGATCAAGCAGTTCGAGAAGCAAGTGGACGTGAGTATGAGCTGATCAGCACTCTCTCTTAAAGACACGGCACACACAAACAGGAAGATTTGCTCACTGGATACTCTTCCTCAAGAGAAACCTTTTATCAACGCTTACATTTTAAACAAGTGGCAAAAGGAATGGGATGCATTAGAAAACAATAAATTACCTGAAATCCAACCTGAAATCTCACACAGAACTTTAAGAATCGACTTGATCGAGTAGTTTTTACTAGATCTGGTATTGGATATACGAGAATAACACTGTTTTTTTGCTCCAAGGTGAAAACCCTACTCAGTGTTTGTGCTGCAGAACTCCTCTTACTATAGACCTTTTTCTTGGAACGCAAAATTACCCATGATGCTTCACAAGGAGAATGCGAAGAACTTCCGGTCGGCAGCTGATGCGTGTGAACAGTCACATTTGGACAGCTTTGAAACGATAGTTTTAATCTATTTTACCTGCTTTTATCCTCTTTATCTAATACTGTTGTCCATCAGCAGCATCTCCTGGACTGATCATTTACAGAAATGTGATCTTATAGGATGGAAAACAGCTGCTGTGAGGTGTTTTCCCCTCGGTGTCAGACGCATCTTCTGCAGTTTAAATGAAGCCTCGTCATCGCTAAAGTCAACATTTTCTCTTTATTTCAAATATATAACCAGCCCAAACACATGTAGTTCAGCAAAATGTGTGACACACACCTAATGTTTGCCTGTACTGTGCCACTGACACACTGATTTAATAACTGTGACAGTGAAATATAGGCTAGTGTCATTTCAAAATGACAGAAAAACACAAACCGTGGTGAAAACAACACACCAAATAAAACACAAACGGCTCGCGATTAGAATGAACATCAGATCAGCAGCAGAGGATCAATAACAGACTTTTATTGCTCATTTGTGTAAATTGCACGACTTTCATACCTGTTAAGTTTCATGCCAGTACTCTGGTTTCTCTCTCTCTCTCTCTCTCTCTCTCTCTCTCTCTCTCTCTCTCTCTCTCTCTCTCTCTCTCTCTCTCTCTCTCTCTCTCTCTCTCTCTCTCTCTCTCTCTCTCTCTCTCTCTCTCTCTCTCTCTCTCTCTCTCTCTCTCTCTCAGTTTCAGTTTCAGTTCAAGTTGCTTTATTGGCATGACATTAAATACAGTATTGCCAAAGCATTTCAAATATGAAACATATTAAAACCATTGAAAAAAATAATTAATAGTAATACAAATAAGATATAATGACACAAAAAAAAACATTTGATAAATATAATAATAATAATAGTAAAAAGTTTAAATTATTTAAATAAAATAATTTAAATAAATTTATAAAAATGTTATAAATTTTTTAAATTTAATAAATTATTAATAATAATTTTTATTATTATTAATTATTTAATAAATTATTTATTAAAATTTAATAAATTTTTAAAATTTTTAAAAATAAATAAAATTTAAATAAAATAATCTCTCTCTCTGTGTGTGTGTGTTAAAGAGCCGCTGAGCTAACAGCTGACAGGCCGGGAACACACTGTATTTCTGACGGCAGACACGTGAACTAGGAGAAGGTTTTTCTCGTATTACTGATGTGCTTGAACCACATGTGACAGATTATAACGGCTTTAACAGACACATTTCTAAGTTGTGTGTCACAAAAACACTCTGTTATCCATTATTGAAACCCATTTTCGGAGCACAAACTACCAGTTGAACACGCTGTGAACGGAGGTTTTTAGCATTCTACTGGAAGACGCTGGCCGCTATGGCGCCTCCATGCAGCAGCCATGAAAAAGCTCTATAAAACACATTTTACTGGACTGTCCTGCCTTTACTGATTCCAGAACACTTTTTCATGAAATGAACTCTGTTAAAGACATTTTTAACGTCTCATTTTTAAAGTGAAACCAGAAAAGATTTTAGAATTTTTATCATGTATTAACACAAAAAATCTTATTTAATTTATGTTTTATTTTTTTTGTTGATTTTTAAATTGTATAATTATTGTTGAAAGATTCCTGCCATGAAAATAGCCTTTATTGCTGACATTAAATAAATAAATACATTACATTACTCTTCCTCAAGATGTCATCAACCTCTGAGCTTCTTTCCTCTGTTATAGATATTTAGAAGGAAGTTGTAAACCGGTAACCATTGACTTCCATAGTAGGAAAACTGAATACTGTGGAAGTCAATGGTTACAGGTTTCTGACATTCTTCAAAATATCTTCCTTTGTGTTCAACAGGAGAAACACTCGGAAGGTTGAGTAAATAAGTGTTACTGTCGAGTGAACGGACTCTTTAAATCCACCGCTGAGACTGCAGCTCTGCACGAGACTTTTACCCAGCGGAGAAATTAAAATGGTCATGCCCAACTGAGTCTGGTTCTCTCAAGGTTTTTTTTTTCTTTACTCGCCTCTGTGAAGTTTTTCCCTCTCCGCTGTCGCCGCAACCTTGCATGATTCAGGATCGGTAGAGCTACACATAGATGAATTTGCTCTTCAGTGTTTGGACTCTCAGTAATGACTTCAAATCACACTGAACTGAGCTAAACTGAACTGAACTTAAACACTAAGAACTGAACTATCCTGATCCAGTTACTATGACCATTTATGTGAAGCTGCTTTGACACAATCTACACTGTAAAACACTATACAAATAAAGCTGAACTGAATTGAGTTTAAATCTGCTCCGCGTCTCTGACCTCTCGTCCTCAGCTCTTCCGCAACGGCCAGCGTCTGCTGGAGAAGCAGCGGTTCCAGTTCCCTCCATCCTGGCTGTACATCGACAACATCGAGGGCGAGTGGGGCGCCTTCAGCGACATCATGAAGCGCAAAGACACGGCCATCCAGCAGCAGGTGGCCAACCTCCAGATGAAGATCGTGCAGGAGGACCGCGCCGTGGAGAACCGCACCACCGACCTGCTGGCCGACTGGGAGAAGACCAAACCTGTGGCTGTACGTGTCTGAGAGATTCCTAAACCAAAATACAGAGACCCAGTTTCACAAGCTTCTCATTTCAAACCAATTAATATCATTAATGCATGTGCTGAAGTTTGCTCACTGCTGGCATAACTCCACTGCATGTTGTGTTTACTTTATTTTAGGATTCCCCAGGCTATTTTAAATCATTAAACGCCCACCTCTCCATAATCACTTCAGATATTTCAGCCTGTGATGAAGCTGATGAACATTTCAGTCACTGCTTCTCTGCTTTCTCAAGTTCTCAGATAAAGAGCTTGTCATTCCCTTATTCTCATGAACGTAATGTAGCTGTGCTTCATTCACACCCTTCTGAATAGTCTCAGTTTAGCTCTCTCACAATCCGCCTGCAGTGAATATGTGTAAAGTAAAACAGCGCTGATGTTAACGGTTCACTGCTGAAGAGATGATGAGCTCCTAATGTCTGGAACCAGTCTGAAAGAGGTGTTGAGTTTAACGCCATGATTCCTGCTGTGTATACCCTGCTGGAGGACGCATGAGCAGCGCTGTGTGTTTCTGCAGACTCAACAGTGTGTGCGTGTGTGTGTGTGTGTGCAGGGGAGTCTGCGGCCAGAGGAGGCGTTGCAGTCGCTCACCATCTATGAAGGAAAGTTCGGCCGTCTGAAGGATGACAGAGAGAAGTGTGCCAAGGCCAAAGAGGCTCTGGAGCTGACGGACACGGGCCTGCCCAGCAGCAGCGAGGAGAGAGTACAGGTGACACACACAGTCCATAACACAGTCAGGTAAAGCACAGAGAGACCAGTAGGGCTGGCGATTAGTCACATTGAGATGCTCACTCTGGGCTGGATGGGTACACCTGTGTCTGACCGTCTCAGTAGGAGCAACTCTCAGCGTGGAGCCCGTATAAGCATCGTTTACTGAGCAGATGAGTGTTCATGGCAGATCTGTTGGTCTTTAATTTCATCTATATCATAATATTCATGTAGTTATTCATATAGACGTCCTGTATTTGCACAGGCCTAACAGTACAGGTACTGGAGTAGTGTGTGTGTGTGTGTGTGTGTGTGTGTGTGTGTGTGTGTTCAGGTGGCTCTGGAGGAGCTGCAGGACCTGAAGGGTGTGTGGTCGGAGCTGTCGAAGGTGTGGGAGCAGATCGACCAGATGAAGGAGCAGCCGTGGGTCTCTGTGCAGCCGCGCAAGGTCTAGCATTAGCCTGAGCACACTCCTTACACTGCAGCATGAGCGCGTGCTTCACTCAGAGTGTGTGTGTGTGTGTCCACAGCTCCGCCAGAGTCTGGACGGACTCCTCAACCAGCTGAAGAACTTCCCGGCGCGGCTGCGTCAGTACGCCTCCTATGAGTACGTGCAGCGGCTGCTGAAGGGCTACATGAAGGTGAGCGCTCGGCCCTCTGGGTAATGCACAGCCCCGGCTCTTACAGTCGCTCTGTTTACAGATACAGAAAAGCTGTGCTTGCGTTGGGGAAAGCTTGCACAAAGCTGCAGGTACATTGACTGACTGCATGACGAGCGTGTGGATCGGGTCTAGTTGAGTTACAGTGCTCCAGCGCTTCACATGTGTCTGATAAAGCTGTCAGAGCCCTGTACTGTTCTCCTGCTGTACTGACACCAGCGTCCCGTCTTCACCGCCGTCATGCACATTCAGCTTGTCCTGATGTTGGCGTGTGACCTCTGAACCGCTCCGCTCCGCAGGTCAACATGCTGGTGATCGAGCTGAAGTCGGAGGCGCTGAAGGACCGGCACTGGAAGCAGCTGATGAAGCGTCTGCACGTCAACTGGGTGCTGTCCGAGCTCAGCCTGGGCCAGATCTGGGACGTGGACCTGCAGAAGAACGAGATGGTGGTGAAGGACGTGCTGCTGGTGGCGCAGGGAGAGATGGCGCTCGAGGAGTTCCTCAAACAGGTGCTGCACACACACACGCGCGCACACACACACACAAAGAGAAACAGACACACACACACACAGAGACACACATACACACACACACACACAGAGACACAGACACACACACACACACACACACACACAGAGACAGACACACACACACACAGAGACAGAGAAACACACACACACACACACAGAGAGACACACAAACACACACACACACACACACACATACATACACACACACACACACACACACACACACACACACACACACACACACACAGTCATTTGAGGTCATGTTCAGAGTCCAGACACTGAATCAGCTCCTTAACAATAACGCAGCTCTGCTCATGTTACTGAGATGAAGCGGTTACTACAGTAAATGATGTCTGAAACGCAGGAACTCCTCACACTTCCTGACTGATGATGATGATTTCACACACACAATGCTGAGATCTG